TAGCTGTCTTTTTTGACAAGAAATAACTTTCACATGCTTCAGAATGACAAAATTTAATGACACTACTTACCTCATTGTCGAGAATGAATTTTTGAAATATTTGATCAGGACAATATTTGAATAAGTTAGGGTCATCACAATAAAAGTTCTTCACTTTGTTCAAAAACTTTTCTTTATCTTGGGTACTCCAATCAGCTCGCAAATCTCCTAAAGCAAGAAAATTGGTATTTTTATCATACCAAGGCATTGGACTAAGAGAAAGTAAGGATTCGTTAGGAAAGTTATCATCGATTGGTGTGATGTCAGATGTCGAATTTGTTGTCACTTTTGACAAAAGATCCGCATCAACATTTTCGGTGCGTTTTTCATCCATGCTTTCTTCCTCAGAATAAATCATCAAATTCATCCAACTTATTTTTACTTAAAGTAGATTCAAGTTGATCATAAATTAATTCATCAATATGATCTACTTCTTGTAAATCATTATCATCTCCAGGTTGCTTGCAAATGTTGAAAATATTCATCTCCAATATCATGTTTCCAAATGATAGCTTCATCAGTCCATTCCTATAATTAATCAATGCATTAGAAGTTGCAAGAAATGGACTTCCTAAAACAACAGGAAATGAATTACATACTTCAACAGGTTGTGTGTCCAAGATAATAAAATCTACAGGATAAATGAATTTATCGACTTGTACTAACACATCTTCAATTATTCCTCTAGGCACTTTTATAGATCTATCGGCAAGTAAAATTTTAGAGTTATGATTGTCTTTCCTTTGTTTGGTCATGGCATGAGGAAATGGAAGTACTACCGGGGAATCAGTCGTATCTTTGCAATTTTCAAATTCAACCCCTTCCTTACCCTTAGAGATTGACTCATCATCTTTCTCACAAGGTTCAAGAGTCGGTTTTTCAATAACCTTACCACTGCGTAGAGTAGTGACTAATTTGACTTGATCCATGTGTTGGCTTCCGGAACTACTTGCATTTGCATTATATTGCCCCTTGGGATTTTGTTATGGTTGAGATGGAAACTTACCTTTCTCCTGGAAACTGAGAGCAGATGTCAATTTTGCAAGAGTATCTTTAAAATCTGTCATATTTTGAGTAAGTTGAGTATTGATTGTCTCTTGCTTTCATTGAATGCATGTAATGTTTCCACAAGATTTCTTCTAGGAGGTGGAGCATAAGGAGGTATATATCCATGAGAATTTTGGAAATTGTGGTGTGCTTGAAATGGTGGTTGTGAAGTTTGTCCATTCTTATTATCACTCTTCCAACTGAAATTTAGGTGATTTCTCCAACCAGGGTTGTATGTTTGGGAGTATGGGTTTTGGTTGGCCCTTTAAAAACTGTTTAAAGCATAGGCTTGTTCATGTTCCTTAAAAGAAGGCAAGGTTGGACAGTTACTGGTTGAGTGTTCATTTGTTTCATATATTTCACATGAAATGTTTTCAACAAATTTTAATTGACCACTCTTTTTCAATTCTAGTGCCTCGACTTTTCTAGCTAAAGATGCAAACTTCGCTTGAAGGTCCTGATCTTTTCTAAGGTTGTACATATCTCCACTAGATGTAAGAGGTTGAGTTTTACTTGGTGCCTCATAAGTACCCGCGGTGTCTTAATTTTGAGCATTTTCAGCTAACAAGTCTAAGTACTCCATTGCTTCTTCAAAAGTTCCATTGCACATCAATTCAATTATTTGTCTATCTCTAGATGTTAACCCTTCATAAAAATGTGAAACCAATCTCCATGTTACAATTTAATTGGTTTTTATAATTCAAACCGAACAAACCAAACCATTAACAAGTATAGGTACCACATGTCTTTCCCTAGCCACCCGCTTCTAGAACCAAAAATATATCCGAAGAAAGGTAATTCTGATGGAAAGGAACTTGATACGTGCTGGTCAGATGCGTTTAAGGTGGATTTGAGCATTAACTGTCGCCCATGCCACATTTATAGCTTAGTTTTATCGCAATATGCTATTATGATGCATTGATGAATCACTGAAAACCTCTACACATTATAGACACACTTTTGGACAAGTTATGATATATCACTGGCTATCCTGCATATCATTTGAGCCAGATGAGGTCATAACCACGCTCTCATCCTTCAACAATTTTAACACAAGATGCTTGCTCAAGAAAGGTTGAAGATGCCTTCAAGTATTGGGGGGCTTGTATTTCATACAGCCAAGGAAACATGCTTCAAAAAATAGTGTTAAGAATAAGCAAGCAAATTTACTGATTCATACATACAATAATGTCAAGATGGCATTGGCATGGTGGTATATTGAGGAATGCATACATAATCAAACGAACAATTCATGTACAATAGTTACAATATGGTGATTGTGTGTTTAGTATGATTCATCTTTGTAGAAAAAGGGCAACTCCAACCAATCCCATCCACAAAGCTAAAGCAAACCAAAAAGCTCGATTTTTCTCCAGTCCAGTTGGAGGTCGCCAGACCAGAAAGTCCCCCATAAAATCTCTAGATGATGGCAATTGATTGGACGTTGTCCAACTTCTCTCTTGATCCTTATCCTTGTACTTATCACTCCATGATGCCGCATAGCTGCATTAAACACATCCCACCCTGTCACTTATCTAAGTGCTAGGAATCAACTGAGTAGTGATGATATTGAGGGGCGTTCAGATAATTTCCAAGGCACGGGGAAACAATTTATCAACCAAAAGGAGAGTAATACTCAACAAAGCACCAAATGAAGAGAAACTGTTGGTAAAACATAATGTACACGTTGTACATGATTATTAAGACAAGACGGATGAGTGATTTAACATGGATATACTTTCCAAACAACTTCAACACGCGTGAAATGGTAGCAGGATGCTGAGATCACCATTTTTTTCTTAAATTGTAGCGTATGCATCAAGTAATGGGTTTCAAAGCTGATGTCAAAGCTGATTTCATGGATCAACAAAAAATTCATCAAGACAGCTACATCATCCATTATTTAAGATCAATTATAATTACAGTTCTTTCTACCGATTTTCACATTCTGGAGAAGCCTAATGCTTATTAATCTCAATAAAACCATGACCTAAAATGATATCACCAATTACAAAACATCACTAAAGAAAGGCAAATAGGTGATAGCCCTGCAAAGCTACACAGCTAGCATCCAGAACCCAGAAATAACATCACCAATTACCAAATATCACTAAAGCAGGGCAAATGGGTGATAACCCTGCAAAGATAAACAGCTAGCTTCCATCAAGTCCAAGTCTGGACCATCTAGAGCTAGACATACCACAGCTTGGCCAAGTTTGATGTGGAAATTCCAGGAAAGCAGTCTACCATTGTGAGGGCCATCTAGAGACATACCACAGCTTGGCCAAGTTTGATGTGGAAATTCCAGGAAAGCAGTCTACCATTGTGAGGACTAAGAAAGAATTAAAAGTAAATCACAATCACATGATGAATTGATGGCAAGACTAAATTTTCAAAAACAAGTAGAGATCAATAAAGGGTCATAAATTGCTCGTCAATTCAAACAACTTGAGATCAAAATTGGACATGAGAAAAACTAGTTCAGAATCCAAAGGATTTCAAACAAGTTTGAGACAATTGAAGCTGAAAGGATGCTCAGTATTGATAGTGCTCTGGGAAGAACACATTTGAGTGATTGAGTAATCCTTGCTCATTCCTTGTGAAAGATATCCATGAGTACATATCATATACTAAAATGTCTCAGCAAGCTCGCTGGTAGCTGTTTCTAAAGTAAGGCAAGGCAGGAAAAGAGGGAAATCTGAAAGATTTCCAGGTGTCCAGAGGTCATTTAAATGAAGACATGGAGGTTAGTGCTTCATCTAATACATCTTAATATAAATTATCCAATAAGAATATAGAGGGGTCTTCAAGATCAAGATCACTAAAGCATACGGAAATCTGTAATAATGGCAAGCTCCAAATAATAGATTTGTAATAAAAACAAGATATTTGTTTCTGGAAAATCTTATTCATACCTTCTATTTCATGGATTAAGGCACAAGTGACTTCTCCCAGGTATTCAGTTAGTAGCAAAGAAAGTTTATGCAGCTGATTTAGAGATCAGAAATGGCTAGGGCAATGGGATCCATTATTTCCTAACCTTTCTATCATCTCAATGCAAATTCTCTACAAATTGTTAGACAAGGCTGCTCTAGAAGGTACTATGCTCTATCATCCAAAGTGCACAAAAGGCAAGTTGACTAATCTCTGTTTTTTAAGATTAGTTGTACACTTTCTAGAATGGTAGAAAGGGATCGATTAGTACTAAAAGGAAAACTCTTTGATCAGTTCTCCAGCTGACAAAACCAATCCATTTATGTGTAAAATGTACCTAACAATCTTGATTTCATTTCCACAAATAAAAAATTCTTCAGTAATCAAGATTCAAAGTAGGCAAATTACCAGTGAGGTTTCAGGAAGTGCCTCTAATTCGGCTGGTCATCCACTTGAGGAGAGTATCACTGCAAGGATATATAACTGGACCTCTATATTCTCGAGTTTTGCTGGAAGAGTTCAGCTTATGATTTCTGGTCTCTTTAACACTCTAAGTTATTGACCCAGAATACCAATTCTCCCAAGAGTCTTATAAAGAAGGTGAGAGGAAATGTTGTGCCTTTTTCTGGAAGCAGAAATCAGGCTCTGTAAAAGGAGCCAAAGCAGGTTGGGGTTTTGTTAGGATGACCTAAACAGGAGGGTGGGCTGGGTATTAGAAGCATTTCTGATTGGAATCAAGCTGCTATCCTCAGGAATATTTTTTTATTGTCTTTTCCTTAAAAGGCTGGTTATCGGGGAATGAAGGACTACAAGGGAAATTAATTAATATTTTAACTTTGAGAAGTTTTCAAGATTTTTAGTACTATTCATAGATATTAGTATGTACAATTGAGTAGTTAAAATAGGTTTATAAGGAATCTCTGTTATGTCCTATTCAGCAAGTTTTCCTATTCATGTTCGGATTTGGTTTCCCTATTTCTTTGGGTTTGTGCCAATGAATATGCACCTTAGCAAGACATTCAAGTTCTATGATAGTCCTCACCTATGACACACACTCATCTACCAAGATTGTCTGCTCCTCCCACGCCTCTCTCTACTGCTTCCCTTCTTCACTATGGCATAACTACCACACAACATTATAAATTGTTTTTTCTTTTTCTTTTTATTTTTTCTATTCGGTTCATCTACAGATTCTACATCACCTTCTCTACTGGTTGCTTGGATTCATATCATAAATAAAAGAAGGTTTTGGAGCATTAATATTCCAGATGATTGCCACTTAAACTGGAAAAATATTTTGAACTTAAGGCCAATAACTAGTGAGATGGCCATTGCATTTGAATATACCAGCTCAATCTAAAGGTTTTATAAAAGTACTGGAAAGAAATACTTGGGGTGGGATTCATAGTACCCTTATGGTCCTCTTTTGCAGTTGTACTAACATAGGATTGTCTATTATTTGAATCTGCCAATTCAATCTAAAGTTTCAGCTTCTATGGAGTTCCGTGACTGGCAATGGCCTCCTTCCAGGTCTATGATTTAGTCCCTCTTTTTAACCAGCTATGTTTGGTTCTTTCCCCTAATCTGCAAAAGGAGGGCTTGGATTTTGAAAGATATCTCCTAATAAGCAGTAAACAATAAACAAAGGTTGGGTTTTTGTTAGATGGAGAAGTCCTAGGATACCTTGGGGTTCTCTTAACTCAACTTTATTTCATGGCAGGCTCTTCTTAATAGCTTTTGCTAAAGATAGACAGGTTGATTGGGGGTCAAATATTGATCCTAAGTTGCTCTTTTGTAATGCCAGTATGACTAGAGACCACATTATCTTCTACTGTTCTATACTAAACAGCTATGGGTGAAAGCTCAGTCAAATTGAGGCACATTCAGACTTCTGAGGGACTGGATGCAGGATTTCAATTGAGCTTTACAGAATTTACAAGAGAATAATTTTACCCTTCCAGTAGGTTTGGATTTGGAAGGAATTGAAGATAACACACTTCCACCCTCAAAAGTATGAAGAGCATTGTGCTCGTTAGTTCATTTATAAAAATGAGGATGAATGTAGCATATCTTCAATGTAAGGTTTAAATAGAGAGAGAGAGATAGAGAGAAAGATTGGTGTTTATCTGTAGATTAGATAAGCCTGCTCTTTGCTAGTAGTTGTTCAGTTTGCATGCCTTTATTGTAATCAGTTTCAGGTTGTATTTTTGTTGTCATTTGTTTTTAGTTTTGTTAACCTCTAGCTGGCATTCTGTGTTGCAACAAAGTTTAGCTTTTAACTGTAGATTAGATCAGTCTGCTCTTTGCTAGTAGTTGTTCAATTTGCATGTCTTCATTGTAATTAGTTTCAGGTTGTATTTTTGTTGTCATTTGTTATTCAGTTTTGTTAACCTCTACCTGGCATTCTTTGTGTTGCAACATAAGTTTAGCTGATATTAACTTCGTTCATTGATCTAAAAATGCACGTATGAATCTCCCCGCCCAAAACAGAGAAAAAAAATGAAAAAGAAAAGAAGAAAAGAAGATAATTGCACAAGTATTGTACCAGTGTTTAATGCATGTGCATGTGCATAAGCAAGAGAACGGTTAATCTAGGAAAGTTAGAATCATGCAGAAGAAATCATTCAACTAGAAGGTATAAATGGATTCCAGCAGTTTGGCTAAACAAAAAGGATTCTATAGCTAACTTCTAAAGAATTACCAAATTTACTACACGGTTTTGTTTGTATAAAAGAATATGAAACGAAGCCAAAAAGAGTTGAAAATATTGTTTGGAATGTGCAAACTAAATGAACAGATATCATCAAACTGACTGATTTTATAATTATTGATTTAGCCAATTTATCTCTAATAACACAAATTATATTGCAGCATTAAAAATATTGAAAACAGGAATTAATTTGAACAGTTTGATGAAAAAACTTACAACCTGTCATATGTTGAACCAATGAGTGGAATGGTGACCATCTCCTCCTGGGATATCTTAAGCTTAGGTGCTTGCAATATATATCGAAGATTTGCAGCTTGACGTCGAATGCTAATACTAGGGTGCTTCATTTCCAATTGCTTGTAAAGAGCAATGCAGTCAGCATGTCGATTATTAGCCTCATAAGCCATAGCCAGCCATATTTGTATCTAAACAAAAAAAATTTAACCTATTATTTCTCACTCCATGATCAAAATGTTATGTTGAAAGAAAGCAAAGCGAAGACTAAAATTAAACTATATTACCAACCTCACCACCAAATAGTGTCGACCTTGGAATGATTGTAAGTGAGGCTTCAAGAAACTCAATAGCCCTTCCGTACATGCCTTTTCCATAAGCTTTTTGCCCTAATTCGAACATCAATTCAGCTGTCTTTCTTCTCTCTGCCTGTTCCATGGCCACCTGCTTGGCACAAAAAGGTAACAATAAAAACTAGGAAAACAAATACAAAAGAGTAATTAGAAGAAAAAAATAGTAGTGGTGTAACCTTTTCGAGCTCTTTTCTCACTCTCTCCTTCTTCTCTTCCTCGCTCTCTTCTTTTTCTTCTTGGCTATTATCATCAAATATTCTGTTCTGCAACTCCTCAGCTTTCTTCACCAACTCTCTCCTCTCTTCAATCTCCTTCACTCTCTTCCTCATCTCCTTTTCCCAATCAAATGGTTCCTGATCTCCTCCTCCTCCTCCATTCCCACTCTCTTCATCACTGTCAAAATCCACACCATTCCTTTCCGAATTCGCTTTTCCTCGGGCTACCACCACTCTCTGGTTGTTCCAAGATTGAGCTTCCCCATCCAATTCAAGGTATTTGTAATTACCCTTACCAAATACTTCGGAAACTTTCTGCAAATTTAGCAAGCTTCAGTCTATACTAAACTTTCTATTGTGTTTTTATTCATCATAATTTTCTTGTCCAAAATAAATCCAATCCTTTGGTTTCTCAAAACAAAAGTTTACTAATTCCCCCCTGTGATAAATATTTAAAACTAAACATCTATCCTGGCTGCACACTATCATTTCACAAACATTACCTATGGGTTACACGTATAGCAATAAAAAAGTTTTTGGCAATCTGCAAACCCGGTCATAGCTGACAAAAAGGTGGGCATTTGAATGGTTTATGCGTTTTTTTATCACTGTATATTAGAGATCACCAATGGGTCTGGCATGATGCACACTATGTCCTAAAATCACAACTTAACTGCAAGGAAAACAGTAAACATAGTAATCAAGTTTGTGCTACATTTATTTGCATAATGCTCAAACTTAAATCGTTAGATATTTTGGCTGAAGAAAGATCAGCTTACCTCATCAAGAAAAAGTGCATTCAATTGCCTCTCATCAACAACTGCATTGGCAGATACAGCGGTTGCATTTGTAGTTGTATTCCTGGCAGTTGCAACAATTAATTCAGTATCCAAATCCTGCATTAGAGTAATAAACTGTGTTTGAGGCTTTAATAAAGCGTGTTTTAAAGTAGCATTCCAATAGATTTCAAATGATCAGTACAGAATATTACAAAAACTTTAAAGAGAGTATTTCGAGTATTGATGCTTGCCTGTATTGATGAAAATATCTTGTCCAGGTCTTTGGCAAAGGCCATGACATCCACATCCTTGTTTGTTGCAAAAAGTGGCTTGCATCAGAACTTAAACTAATGGTGATGTCATCCATAGGGATCATGAGAATGAAAACTAAGGAAAAAGGAATGTGTGTGAATGTGTGTGTGTGTGTGGGTGTGTGTGTGTGTGTAAAGCAAGTGACAAATAGAACAATTTTAACATCCTCAGATCTCTTTTAAGAACTGATACAAATGAACAAGACCTTTTTAGATAAATGCCCATCTAAATCACACTCGTAAGCACTAATAGTCACATCATTTGGGATGTCTTATAAATCCTCTGTCAGAGCACATTACTAATCCTCAATTTTTAACCCTGGCATTAACTTACGGAACCATCTAATGGAGTTTGAAAATGATTTCAGTACAGACATCAATATAGAGTTGGTGCAAGAACTTAAATGAGTTTAATGCACTAGCATCCACAGACAATATCATATGCATCATTGGATTCTAAATATAGATGTAATTCAACATTTGCAATTATTCTCAGTAGGGGAAAAACAAATTAGAATCCAAGTTATACCCTATGAGAATAGAGAAACAAACTAGCAAAAGTATCAAGGAGAGGCCCACCTAAAATCTCAAGTAAGAAGCAGTCTTTCACAGTAGAACTTCTGAGAACAGGACAGGAAAATAAAGTGCCAATGCCCTCATCATACGAGAGAGAGCATTGCATCCTGGGAATATATAATTTTCAAAGAAAATCTTCAACACTCATTCTGCATCATATTTTTGCTTTAAATGATGCAATGCCAGAAGGAACTGAACCTGGGATAATTCCATGGCCACTATGCTTCAAAGCTATGTAATGTTAAAATAGAATTCCTGTCTTAATTACCCTCAGGAATTAAAAAAAAAATGCTTGATCCCATTCAACTAAATAAATTAACCTTCAACCACTCAGTCCTGGTGACAGGAATCACTGAAGAATTTGGTTGAAGTATGTTGGACGCCAGCCATACATGCGATTTAAAATATAAATATGCAGTAAAAGGAAACAAAAATAAACTCCTGTTCAAGTAGACGGGAATTCCAACCTCTACAACCAGAGTCTTGTCCAAAGGAAAAGAAAGACGTTCAAAAACGTTGTTCAATTTTGCACAATCTCATTGGCTTAACCATTTCTCACAATGAGATCAATTGACTGAGCAATTACATCTCTACTGATGTTTCTAGCCATCCTACAGATATATTTCCAGGCATCATACAGAAAACTAGAAGTGCATGCAAACGAGATAATCCTCGCCATTACTCATCCATACATTGTATGCAAGACTGGAACTGTTTTATTTATTTATTTATTTGTGTTAAAATAATGCAATGTTATGGATTTCAAAGAGGTGAGAAAAGACTATTGAAGCGCGAACTACCTTTGATACATCTGCCAGCCATTCGCCACCACCTCCAAGAAATGCTTGAACGCCCTGAGCTAGCCTTAGGGCTCCCCGTGGACCGGTGTTGATAGATGTCTGAACAATGTCCTCCACCAGTTTGGGCAAGTTTTCAATACTATCTGATAGCATCAACATATATAAGTTTTCAATAAAGACGTATAATACCAGCAAAAAGGAGTAGAAGTAACAAGACGTTTATTAGGTCTTTCTACAGTGGGGGAATATAAAGGTGAATTGGGGGGGCTCCAAAATCTGATAGAAAGGAAGTTCCAAAAGAATAATTTCATTATGTCAAACATATTGATAAGTACAAATACCTAGGAGACGAGAAGAGAAAAGATCCTGCTGTGTCTGAGCATATCGGGCAAAAGGGTTAAGACCCTTTGAGCGAAAATTGAGCTTGCTTGATCTCCTGCTTGGGATTGGCAACTTTTGAAACAAACAGCAGTTCATCAAGACAAGATTTCTTGGCGCTGAAACAGCAATTATTGCCATTTCTTTCTGGACACACATGAATCAATAGACTGGACATTAAAAGAACAAAGCTATAAGAAAGGAGTCGTCCCCTGAGGAAGGGGGTTAGTATTAAAGCAAGAGAATCGAGCCCCTCTTGGCGCTGAAACAGCAATTATTGCCATTTCTTTCTGGACACACATGAATCAATAGACTGGACATTAAAAGAACAAAGATATAAGAAAGGAGTCGTCACCTGAGGAAGGGGGTTAGTATTAAAGCAAGAGAATCGAGCCCCTCTTGGCGCTGAAACAGCAATTATTGCCATTTCTTTCTTTCTGTTTATCTGTCTTGCAGAAATATCAGAGAAGTGTGAAGCGTGAGGGTATCTGCTGCAAATATATATAGACAGCACAAAGTAGTAGTTGAAGATAAAAAAACATGAAAGGTAAGAGGCCACGTGGCAAGCAGAAGCACTGCTACGCTACACAAAAGAGGGCTAGGCTTACGCCTTGAAGTGTTGTTTTTTTCCCACTTTTTCGGGTTTTAAAAGTTGACATGCATAGTCCTTTCCTGGGGTGGCTAGTAGGAAAACGTACATAGATGTTCAAGTTGCGATTAGTAAATATTATTGGTTAGGGACTCACAAATTAACGTAACATGTCATTAACTTATTACACATCAACAACTTCTATCAAATTGAAACAATTCTTTACAACTTTTACCTTTCCTTTTCTCTCTTGTATGTAAAAACATTTACTATAATGAAATTAAAAAATAAATATAACTCTCACCCTCCTCAATCATTATTTTCATGAATCTCTCTTTTTTTATCTCTAAAAAAATTCAAAATACAAGTATGGTTAGTAATAATACTTATATATTAGATAATTAATTAATTCTTGATTATAGTAATTTGATCAATTATTTTTAGCCAAGATGGTTGGTGATTGATATCTATAAAAAAATCATCTTTAGTAAATTTAAAAATTCTTAAATACTTAAATAAATATTTTTTTAGAAAGCAATAATATTTTAAAGTGATAGAATCTAAAAATATTCATCTTAAAAATGTTGGCAAGCTACATATATGTTTTTAAAGAAAATTAGTTGTATATAAATATTATTGATAGTCAACTGATTTATCTGATAACATCAAACGATTAATTAGTTGATACAAAATTTAAGATTTTAATAGTTTAACCTAAATAAATTTTCAAGAGTATTTATCATAAATTTTATTTATTAATTATTTATTGTATAAATAATGAAGTATGTGAGTTTATTTTAATTATGCTATTAAATATGATAATTAAAAGGATTTACATTTAAGTACTAAAATAAAATAAATGTATTTTAAGTCTTCACATCTTTATTAGATTTTCTATTTGAATTCTTCACAATATACACAATACTTAATGGTATATTCTTCATTAAAACTTGTTTAAAATTTACTCTTAATTAAATATATTATTAGTTTATTTTTTATTTTATTATTATCATTAAATATATAAAAACAAGAAAGTGTAACTCTAAATATTGTCAACAACTTCATCCAATCAAACATCTATAATGGATAATTCCTGTAAGAATTTCTTACACCTTACCCCGCCCCTATTTTTTTCTTCTTTACCTAAATTACCGAGAAATAACAGTACAATTAACAAGGTAAAATAAAGTCTTGACTAGGAAAGAATAGGTGTAAGGAAACTTACATGTCTATTAGTTTTAAAATTTTATAAACACCAAGATGGAGGCAGAGTATTTTACTTCTTTTATTAACCTTAACAAAAGAAACCAAGAGAAGTCAGTTTTGCACATTGTATTTACTGTACTGGACTCCAGTGGTGTTTCTCATGGTAATGCAAGCAATTTTTCAGTTTCAACTTCTCCTCTCTTCTACTTCTTACTGTTGACTTCTCTTTGTGCCCGGAGAAGTGCATAGATTAATAGCAAATTTCTCCCCTCTTTTTCTAAACATTTATGTCTGCATTTCTCTATTTTTCTCGCGCCTTCTTCCATGGCTGATGCAGCACACCCAAGGTACATCCTTAGCCAAGTATTTCATCAAACACCTTCGTGCTGATGTTGCTTTTCCAGTATCACCCCACCCTCTCACCAAAATGCAGTAAGATTTTTCTAAACTCTGTCAAAGAAATTTCGTGTGCTTTTATGAACATTTGTTTCTGGATTTTGCTTCCTTTTCTAAACATTCCTAGTTCTCCTACAAAAAATGGGAAACGATCTGGGCAGAACCAAATGAAAATAATCATATATATGGCATATACACTGGTTATCTAATGCCTCGATGTTGTTGCTCCTGCTTCATCTGCATAAAAAGGCAGCGGTGCAAATCCAGATTTGCTTCTTTCTTCATGCTAATATTTTGCATGGCAATGTGATGTTATGTATTGAGGATCGGGTTGCCAACCAGAAGTTCCATTTTACTAACTTGACTTGTATCTTTAGCAAGGAGCTGACACTAATCAACGTACAATAAAACCCTTGATATATGTAAGAAGATGACAAACCCTACTTCAACTTATTTCTTTTCCGAAAACAAAGGCTTGCAATTTGGTGGTGGATCATTATGCATGTAGGAAAATAATTAGACAGTGTTTGTTTGGAAAACTACAAGGTCTAGCTATCAAGGCACTGAAGTTGTGGTATGAAAAACATTTGTTCAATTCTTCCAAACTACTATTTCACTTATAAAGACATACTTTGCCCTTCATTTTAGCATCTATCTTTGTTCTTTTTCATCGCTCTTGCCTAGCTATTTTTTCTTTTTTTCTTTTCCCGCCTTTGATGCTTAAGCTTTTGGATTTGCCCGTTTTGTTTTCCTCCCCCCTTCTCTGACCCTTTTTGTAGTGCTTCTTAGGTTCATTTTTCCATTTTTCTAGTTTTATAATTCCTTATTTGATACAGTTTTTAATTTGACACAATCTTCGTGCCATTTTAGTTCCCGAGGTTGTCCTTTCATCTCTTCTCTCTTACTTTATTTTCTCGAAATATTTGCAATTCTTTTTTGATCTTGATGCCTTTGATTCATGCTGTTTCCTTCTCTTATGTTTCACCTGCAGTGTCCCACCCTTTTGCCCCACTTTCTTAGTTGCATTATTTATTTTTCCTTTAGATGATCCAATTGCTTTCTATTTTATAACATTCTAGATGCTTTACCTGCACCACGCTGAGAGTCATGTTAGACTTCACCGTTAAATAGTTTTTATTGATGGATTAATTTTATTGGTCTTAGACATATAAATTATCGGTAAAATTTTTATAGACATCCACACCAACAGAAAACATCCTTTGAAATAGTTATCATCGTTAATTTTACATTTCACCACCAATTCTATTAGTAAAACAAAAAATAAATAAATATCAATGGAACATCAATGATATTACAAATAGCAAAGCATGCCAAAAAAATATTCCATTCCATATTTTCAACTGTAATTATAAATAAAATATTCGTCAATGATTGTGGCATGAATGGTAAATATTTCAGAACTCTGTCAAATAGTGACAGATATATTCCGTTAGTAATAGTAATGGTAAATACTGAGAGAAGATATTTGTCAATGATAGTGGCATGAATGATAATTTTTTTGCAACTCTCGATAAAACAAAAGATATATGTCAATGATAGTGGCATGGATGATAATTTTTTTGCAACTCTCGATAAAATATTAATGGCCTGTTTTCGTCAGGAAAGCCGTCAATATTTATTTAAAATATTTTAAAAAATATTGATTAATAGTAAAAGAAAACTTAATAACCAAATAAATTTGTATTAAACATTAAAAATGTAAAAATAGTGTTAAATAATATTCATCCAAATATTCATTACAAATTTAAAGCCTGTTTGGCAGTGTGGTTGCGGTTGCTTTTCAAATAATTTTTCCTGTCGAAATGCATGCCAATAATATTTTTTCATTTTTAAAAAATTATTTTTGACATCAGCATAACAAAACGATTCAAAACATACAAAAAAAAAATTAGCAAAAAAAATTTGAATTTTTTAGCACAAAAACGATCCCAAATGGTGCCTTAATGTTTTAAAAAACAAAATTAAACTAAAACAGTGGCGTAGCTGGAGGAGTAAGAGAAGGAGGAGGTTGGTTGTTCCTAAGACTGTACAGCCAAAAAGGAGCAGCACAGGATCATCACCGATCTTTGATCTAATCTCCATGATCATTTGATGGAGTTGATCATAATCTATCGAGAGGCGTTCATATTATTGTTTCAAGGTTATGAACTCCTTTCACTGGGTGCTCGATATTAATGGAGAGCTCCCAACGATTGAGACACTACGAGCCAACCGTAATTTTTTTACTGTAGTGTTGGAGATCCTGTAGACTCAATTTTTATAGAGTCCACCAAAAGATCCGACCTCTATCCACAAATCTAGATCGAAATCCGAATGGATTGAAGGATCATCCCCATATCTCTCTCTCAACTGGCTATTATAAGCCTCCTAATTTTTTTTTAAAAAAATCATCATATTTAATTCAAGAAAATAATAGCCTACGAAATAAAATGATTGAAAAAACATACCACAAAGTGCTGAGTGACATGACTAAAAGATTGATGTCTTCTCCCAAGTGAGGTTCCAATCAGATTATATATTGTTAACATGATTACATTAGTCATCTTATTCAATTAATGCTAATACTTGTAAATCTCGTCAAGCATTCATGATTATAACTTATGTTAACAACAAATCAAGTTCCTTTCATAGCTCAGGTGTCGGTTATACCATACATTATGGGCTATGAAAGTGCCAAGCATTTGTTGTACCAAGTGTTATACAACATAAATCAAGATTAGTCATTTAACAAGCAAAGTATTAAAGAGTGAACAAGATAGCAAATATAAAACATGTTAGTATCAAACATTAAAGTCCATATTAAGTTTACATTATACTTATTCTTACACCATTAGTGTAACCTTTTCACCTTGACATAATTAACTTAGCTAGACATAATGAAAGAAAGCAAAATAGATAAACAAAATAAGAACATAAAAGTTAACTAAGTAAAGGAAAGGAAATGAAAGGCATAAACTTAATATTAATGAAAACAAAGCATAAAAAATACAAAGAGAGAAAGGAAGAGCATGATCTTGATCTGAACACCAAGATGCCTAAATGCATGGCAAATGCCTCCTTTTATAGGCCAAAAATGGGAACTATTGATTTGATGACTAATTGATAAGTGGGTGACCAACTTTTGACTTGGTGACAATCCTTATCTTCTCTTGTCTGCCCAAAACGTCATTGATAACGTCAAAACTGGAGCCAGTTGCAAACATGAAAGTTGTAGGCAATTGTCTCAGCTTTCTTGTGTAAAAACTTCAGCTCATTTGGACTTCTAGAACTCCAGATATGGCCAAAATACCGAACAGT